TTGACCGGGATGGTCTCGATCTCTTGACCTCGTGATCCACCCGCCTCGGCCTCCCAAAGTGCTGGGATTACAGGCTTGAGCCACCGTGCCCGGCAATCAAGCCATTTTCTGATTTTATGGTAGCTCTTAAAGAAACTCCTTCCTTTCCATTCCCATGCTGACCTCTAAGTCAGGGTTCTACCTTCACTGTGGATTGACCTCTGTTCCTCCAATCTCATGCCAACCCACTTATGCATCACTGCCAGGTCCATCTGCTGCCACATGCTGTCTGGCATGTAAAAAGACATTTCAGGCCGGGCTCACTAGCACTTTGGGAGGCTGAGATGGGCAGATCACAAGGTCAGAGGTGCGAGGCCGGCCTGGCCAACATGGTGAAACCCCATCTCTTTAAAAAAAAAAAAAAAAAAAACTTTTTAAAAAAGAAAAATTAAAAAAAAGACATTTCAAAATTCCTCAAAGATTCCCTACTGCCCAACCACATACACCCTAAATTCTTTAGGTAGAAATGGTAAAGATATATGTTACAGGTTTTGTTCTCTAATAATTTCCACAATGAGATTATTGGAAAGTTGCTTTTGTAGACATTACTTGAGCACCCCTCAGAAATCTGTCATCTGGAATGCTCAAAAAGGGCTGCATCGCAGGGCACGGTGAATCATGCCTGTAATCTCAGCACTTTAGGAGGCTGAGTGCCTGAGCTCAGGAGTCTGAGACCAGCCTGGGCAACATGGTGAAACACGGTCTCTACTAAAATACAAACACTTAACCAGGTGTGGTGGCACAAGCCTCTAGTCTCAGCTACTTGGGAGGCTGAGGCAGGAGAACTGCTTGAACCCAGGAGGCAGAGGTTGCAGTCAGCTGAGATTGCACCACTGCACTCCAGCCTCAGCGACAGAGTGGGGTGGGGGGTAGGGGGGAAGAAAAAAGGAAAAAAAGAAAAAGGGCTACATAAAGGTTTGTCCGTCATCTGTAATCATTTTCCTTAGCCTCTTTCACTGCTTTAGTGGTTTTTTAAAGAAGTTTTTCTTGGCCCGGCGCGGTGGTTCACGCCTATAATCCCAGCACTTTGGGAGGCCAGCGCGGGTGGATCACGAGGTCAAGAGATCGAGACCATCCTGGTCAACAAGGTGAAACCCCGTCTCTACTAAAAATACAAAAAATTAGCTGGGCATGGTGGCGCGTGCCTGTAATCCCAGCTACTCAGGAGGCTGAGGCAGGAGAATTGCCTGAACCCAGGAGGCGGAGGTTGCGGTGAGCCGAGATCGCGCCATTGCACTCCAGCCTGGGTAACATGAGTGAAACTCCGTCTCAAAAAAAAAAAAGTTTTTCTTTTAAACAATACAAGTACCGGGCCGGGCGCGGTGGCTCAAGCCTGTAATCCCAGCACTTTGGGAGGCCGAGGCGGGTGGATCACGAGGTCAAGAGATCGAGACCATCCTGGTCAACAAGGTGAAACCCCGTCTCTACTAAAAATACAAAAAATTAGCTGGGCATGGTGGCGCGTGCCTGTAATCCCAGCTACTCAGGAGGCTGAGGCAGGAGAATTGCCTGAACCCAGGAGGCGGAGGTTGCGGTGAGCCGAGATCGCGCCATTGCACTCCAGCCTGGGTAACATGAGTGAAACTCCGTCTCAAAAAAAAAAAAAACAATACAAGTACCACTTTTTCGAAATGGACAGGCTGTAAAAAAGCCAAACATTCCACCAAGATGAAATTCAGATATGTCCCTGACTATATTGTCTGTCTTGTCCAATAACTCATGCTCAGTTTAGTGTCTATTTATACCTTCGCTCAGGGTCTTCTCCCTGTCTGCAGCACCTATCCTCTCCTTTCTGGTTTTTTGCTTTCTTTTAAAGATCCAACTAGATCACTTTCCTCATAAAGCCCTTCCCGACTCGTCTACAGGGATCCTTCTCCTGAGAACACCTGTAGCACTGATTCAGCCGTCCATTAAGAACACAGAAATGCACCTCACAGTGTAATTTCTCTTTTAATGTGTAGGATTGTTTACAACTCATCAGGTCTGGTGCAGTTCCGTCATGATTTAACATGGAACACCTGGACTACCCTTCCTCAATAGTCCAGGGCAAGAGCAGCAGTGAGTGATTCTTCGCTTTCCTCGGGTTCACTTTGACCTGAAACAAGTTGCTATCTTCTGATAATATGTAGGGACCCCAAAAGAACGAGGCCCAGGGGTCTTCATCCCGTACAAATCCTGGACTGTATCAAGGGGAAGGCGTCAGTAGTTCGTGCTCACCCAGACCATTAAGAGCCTGGTCCTCCCCTCCTCTCTTGGGGTTCAGAGGGTTCCTCGAGTCTTGTTCCCACCCAGGCAGGGGGGGCTAGCGTCCAGCTGAGGGTTCTCTCTCCACTGTGCGGGGGTCCGCGCCTGGATGGCCAGCGCATGGACCGGCCCAGCCAGCTCCTCGGCCAGCGCCGCGTGGACCAGCCGGTGTCGTTGTAGGGGGCTAAGCCCCTCGAAACGAGAGCTCACCACAGCCACGCGGAAGTGCGTCTCACTGCCAGGCGGAACCGCGTGGCCACCGCTCTCGTTGCGAAGCTCCAGCACCTCAGGGCTCAGGGCCTGCTCCAACTTCGTGCGAATGGCGGCCTCCACTGGGCCCATGGCCCCGGATCCCGCGCTGCCCTGGGACAAACAGACGCGGCCAGCCACCAAGACCAGGCCCGGGACCAGCCGCCCAGTCAGCATCGGCTACGGCAGAGACGCAGAGGCCAGGAGTGAGGGCCAGGGCGATCCGCCTGGTGAGAGCGCAATGTCAACGACCCAGCCCGCGATCCCCGCTGCCGCGCTAACCCCATGCACGGACACCCACACCAGCTCCTGTAGGGAGCCCCCCTTGACGCCACACCGGGAGACCCGAGACACCGCCCCTTTCGTCTATGTGACTTGGTGAATTCGACCTCCAGCTGTAGGAGTGGAGGGACCAGCGGCGATTAGAAAGGCCCGCACGCGAGGCACATTCATTCCTAAGGGGATTTGCAAAGAGTGGGGAAAAGTAGGGCATGTGCACCTGCGTACTCGTGGTTGGGCCGAAGCCCCTGGGTTCCCTGAGCAGCCCAAGAGGAGCACCTTCTACCTGCCTGCCGCTCAGCCTCAGCTACTGCGATTCCCGCTCAGGGTCAGGACCCTGGACGCTCCGGGAGCAAAACGCACTCCCGGCGCCCTTCCTGAGGCACGCCGGGAAATGGAGTCCTCGCTGTGCGTTGGTAGGACGGACAGGCGCCACGTGGTGCCCTGAGGGCTCATGGGAACTGTAGTCTCGGATTCTCTCCGCTGGTAAGGTAGTCAGAAATTCGTAACCCAGCAATGCAAAGAAAAAGAGATTTCACGTGCAGTTAGGGTTGGGATTATTAGATCTATTTTATTGCCAATAGATCTTGTAGATCATCCAGCCCAACTCCTTTATTTTACATACAAGAAAATGGAAGTCTGCTTTATTTATTGAATATATAATTACTGTGCCCCAGACCAGTGCTGGGGACTGGGGACTCAAGTCAGGCCCTGTCTTGAAGGAGTTTGCAGAGAACTGAAGACTAACAAGTGAGCGGACAATTGCAATACTGGGTACTAAGTGCTACGATGAGACTAAACAGGATGCTAATGAGGCCAGTTACCCAGACTTCGCCGGGTCTGGAGAGGTAGAATGGGGGGGCCGGCAGAGAAAATTTCTGAGACAATTTAGGGGAACAGTCCCGCAGAAACAGCATGAAAATCCGTTTCTCAGTCCCTCATAATGAGGTTTTGGCTGTGGTAGCCGCATGTGTAAAGGACAGGAGGAGAGAGAACTTTGAGGGAGTCTTTCCTCGTGATGTAGTTACGCTGTGGCTATGTGTGGTCGGAGCCTACGGGCGGATGGTGGTGATGAATAGGGCACTGGGAGAAGAGAAAAGGGCCAGACCACCCCAGTCCTGTAGCCCTTGTTAGACCATTTTGTCTTTACTCTAGAAGTAGTGGGAAACTACTGAGGCTTGTTTTTTTTTTTTTT